ATATACAATGATAAATACAAATATAAAGACTGACTAAGAGAGAAAAATATAGTAAGGCAAGAGAATGGAGATTAAATAATAATAATAAATAAATTATTAATATGGAGTGAGGAGGTGAAGGTGAATGTAGGGTAGAGAAAATAAATATAATGATAAATTGTTGAGTGAGAAGGTAATATATGTAGTCACAAGAAAAATAATTTAAAAAGTGAAATAAAAGCAATTAAAACGTATTAAGAGAATAATATTACTTTTAAGTTTTGACATAAAAGTTTTTTAATAAGAACACATGAAAATAGAAAACAAAGGGAAACAAAAGAAGATGTATAATAATAGACAGAGATACAATGAATTTTTGAAAAATAATGAAAGAAATGACGGTATAATAAGAGAACAAAAATAATATGTAAGGCGGAAATATAAATATAACAATATAAAATATTACAATATAAAATATTAAAGGAGAAGTTGAGAGATGAAATCTCAATAAAAATTAATATGAGTTGGAATAAGTGACTAGAAAGAACAATATAGAAAGAAAGATAAATGAGATAAATAATAATAACAAACAAATTATGAATATAGAGAGGGATGGTATGATCAATATAATTAAAACTTTTAATCCACCTGTTAGATTTTAAAAATATTAATTAAAATATATAATATTTCAATATGCCATATAGAATGATGTTTTATAAAATACTTATATATATAAGATTAGTAATTATTTATTTTACCTTCTAAACATTAGAAGAAATATTATTATAAAACTACCTTATTTCAATAAAACATCACAAGAAAGAACCAAAAAGACTATAGTTCATACTTTAAAAATAAATTATTTTAGCTTTTTCAATGAGAGTTTATTAAAACGATATAGTTTTAAAATAATTTTTTTTTAATTTTTAGAAAATAAGGTAGATAAATTCTATTATATATATGTATATATATATAAGGTCAATGTAGTACAAGTTATCTTTTTTCTTTTTTTATTAGGACCTACCTAAAATCTCATCTTATAATTAATATTTTTAAAAACTAATTATTGAATTAAATATTTTATATATATAAATCATATATGTAAATTTTTAAATTGATCTAATATTTAAACCCTTTGTTTAAAAAATATATTTACTTCTATATATATTTAATGATATTAAATTTTTTATATTTAATGAATTAAATTAAATTTGCTAAAATAATCAAAAAATTTACATCTATGATCTATATTAATAAAATTTTTAATTTAATATTTAATTTTTTAAAATATTAATTAAAATATAATATTTTTAGAGATATCCTACATAGAAGGCATCTTAGAAAATACTTTTCTCTATAAATATATTTTTGTGAAAAAAATATTTATCAATTGAATTTACAAAGGATTAAATGGACATATATTTCAAAGACTACTTCCTCCTCGTTCACGAAATTAATGTTAGAAATGGAAAAATTGAAATCTGAAGGGCCTGTTTAATAATGCTGCCATTGCCCCTTTTCGTTTTTGTTGACAAAATTTCAATGTTTAAATTTGACAATTAAAAACAAAAATCAACAACCTTTTAATTATGAATTTTTAAAAATGGTAATCAAAATCAAGGCTCCATCTAGTATCATTTTAGTTTTTGATTTTGGTTTTCAATTTTATACATTTAGTCATCATTTATCAGTTCTATAATGTGTTGTATTTTGTTATATATATATAAAACTTTTTTGTCTTTTATTATTCAAATAATATATAAATATTAATTAAAATTAGTAAAAATATATAAAATATTAATTAAAATTAATTAAGAATAATAAATTTCATTTTTTTACAAAGTGCTTTATAAAAGAGGTCTGTACAAAGCATGATCAAATTACGTTTTCTTTTTTGTTTTTCAGCAAATTAAGTCTTATTATATAATACTATATTTTGATTAAGGCCCCCATTTGGTATAACGGTTTTAGGGTAGTGATTAGCAGTTTTACCTAAACCACTAAATATAGGTATTTGATAAATTTACATATTTCAAAACCGTTATAAATAAAGTGTTTGGTAAAATTTTTATTCAACAGTTTGAGACTGGCGGATAGCGGTTGTAGTCCAAATCGGTAATGGATTGAAAAAACTAATTTATGTAG